GATACACGAAAAGAGTCAGCTACTCGATGAGAATTCCCTGCCTGACAAGTTTTTAATTTTTTTTTTTTTTTTAGAGAGAAGCGGTAATTCTAGTAGTTATTCTAAAATTCTCGGACAGAATTGGGTAACACTGAAAAAATATTTTAGTTTCCCGAATTAGTATTTTTTTTATTTACAAAATTTTTGAAATTAATGGACTTGACTCGTGCTTAATTAATTTTAACTAATTAAAACTCTCTTTAAGCCTGATTAATTATAGCTTTTTTTAGTATTTTGGTTAAAAAATTAAATAAACTCTCTTCTGATGATCCGATCCGCGTCATTGATAGACTTGTACCGTTAAGCTAAGCCGCGTCAAATCTATCGTAATTACTTCCTTCAAATTAATTACCTTCAACAATGACTGTGATTAATCCTACATTTTATTGTGCCCTTAGTAATTTGTAATCCTTAATTACACATACAGACTGACACAAATACTGCTAGAAACGAAAATTTTAGTCATAATAAAATAACAGCAATGGTAATAGTTTGAATTCCATCATTTTATTTGTGAGAAAAAAATAAAAAAGAATGGGGACACGCCGACACTCGCATTCATTGGAATTTTTTAATTTTGTTTTATCTTATTAATTATCCATTGGATATGCTAGGAGCAAAATTATAAATTGATCTTTTATTAGCGTAGCAAAACAAATTAAATAGTTTTTCTTATTTTTAAAACTAATCAATTAGATCATAATTAATTTAATATTATTTTATTTTGAAAATAATTTTATAAAACAGAAAGAAAAACTAAAAATAAATTTTAAAATATAAAAATAAATTAATTAATTTTAAAAAATTAAAAAAACTATTAATTCATTTGGTAAAATTAGATGGAATAATTTATAATTTACTCCATATGTCAGCGTAGATTTGTGCTACATTTCTTGTATCACTGGAACAAGGCCCACTCGAATTGACTTTTAAAAATGCCCGAACGATGAACAAGTCAACCACTCTTCTCCAAATGGGATTATAACAATAAAATATAACTTGAATTGGAATTACAGTTCCAATCTTAATATCTGACAAGAAGAAAAAAACGATCACAGTTGTACGTATGGTGATATAACTTTGTGTTTTAGCTGTCCTCAGCATACAAAATTTTTAAAAGTATATGCTTTCTTTTCATGTCAAACAGAGAATAGAACCTGGAGAAAAAAGTTGCCTTGATGCCGATCCAGATTGTCAAAAGAGACGCTTTTTCAAAAATGTAGGTCCATCACTTGAAACTCACAAATAAGTAAGAGATCGAGAGAGATTGACGTTCGTTGAGACCTAGCTAGTAAAATTAATTTCACATTTGTCCTTTCCGCGTTGCATGCTTGATTGGTTTAATTTTGTCCGCTTTTCTGGAGTGTTAATTAAAAAGGCTAGGTGCGTGCACGTACACTTCCAAACATTTTTAGGCCTTTTGGAAATCATAGGTTTGTACATGTATAATCTCACAATTAAGTAAAATGTAGATTCAATAGTAACTAATACTTAAAACAAGAAAGTTTTTCAAGATAAAAAAAAAAAAACCTAATAAATATTGCAGAGGTTTACAACAGAGAAACACTAAAACAAACTAAAAAAAAAAACAATAAAGCTAATAAAATTATGAATAAATGATTGGGGTGATCATAATCAGCGTTGCTTGTAATTTTTTTTTTTTACAATTAAATTACGAATTTTTCATCTAGTTCACCAAGGTAGATTAAGTATAGTACGGAACGTGTTAAATTCAATTATTAGAGATAGCAATAAGAATTAAATCTAATAAGAGGTATGGTATGCTGCTTTAATTATTGCCAGCAAGCCTGAAACAAGTGCCAAAAACCATAACTGTCATGCACTATCTGGAAGGTAGGCAACGAGGTCCAGTAATTAAAACGACGTTGTGACATGACACTTGGGCTCTCTTGATCTCCGCCAAGTTAACACGTTGGACCTTCACCCTAAGCTCCACACATATTAGAGGCCGGCCCCCACCACCCACACCCCCCACCCCCGACGACCTCCCCCCACTCGGACGATTAATTAATGCAACTGTAGTAATTAGCTTTCGAATACAATTAATTAACAAAATCAACAAAAAAAAAATAACGTTTTCGTTATTTATTCCCTATTCATTTTCTCATAAATTATTATTTATTTTGTGATTACTTTTTGTGATTTTAGATGATGGTTTTTTCGCGATGTTTTAGCTATTTTTTAGCATTCATTTTGTGGTTTTTATTTATAAGATAGCTTCCTTTTTTTCATGCATTTTTTTTTGAATTTTGGTTTTTCATAAGCATATATATACATATAGGATTATATTACTCTTATTATTTAAAATTAATCTTTTCAATTTGTAATTTCGTATGAAAAATCTCTTTAAATTAGTTTTTATTCTTTTTTTATGTAATTTTATTTGTTAAAAATATAACTTATTTTTCTTTGTGTATGAATTTTTGAATAAAATTTTTTAAAAAATAATTAATTATAAAACTGAATTCATGTTGTTTTATTTCTTTGATGCAATCTTATGAAAAAAATTATTAAGATATTTTTTAAAAATTCTATATTAAATTTTTTATTTAGATTATTACATATTTTTGTTAAAAAATAAATATACAAGGAAGAGTAGATCGTATTTTTTTTAACAATAAAATTTATGAAAAAAAAGTATTAAATATTAAATTTTAATTAAAATTATAAAATTAGATGAACTTTTTTTATTTTTTATTTTATATATTTTAGTTAGCTGAGAGTATTGTATAAATTAACAAATTAAAATAAATTTATTTTATTCGACTAGCATGAAAAACTGACTCGTGTGAGCTATATATGATTGACAAAATTTGGTTTATCATTCTTCGGTAAAACTATCATCTAGAGTGCCCAGCTAGACAAAAGTTTATTTAAGAAATGGCGTACATATCTGTAATGTGGTACTTGAGCTTCAGACTTCATTGTTTTTCATGTATTATTGAGCTATATATCGGCGCAAAATTTGTTTTTATAAATTGTTTTTTTTCATTGGTGTAGTATTTCCTTAATTATATTAGCTCCTACTTATTTTCTTTGATGAAATGGAAAAAATATATATATCATTTATCAAAATATATTAGCTCTTTCTGAAAAGAAATAAACAAAGAAGAAATTTACTAGTAAACCTACTTACCAACTGCCAAAAAATTAAATTAACTTTTACATAATTTTTTTCTTACTTTTCTCAGCTTTTCGTCTCAATTCCACATATGTGTTATAGTATGTTACAAATAAGATTAGAAACCTAACAAAAGCTCAAAATATGAAATTAGAAAATAAGTATTTAATAGTTAGCTAGGCCGGGTAGTATTGTTAGAACAATATTAGAAAACTAGAAAGGTAACGTTATTGAAAACTTTTAAACTATAAGGATGGTGTCTTGCTCAGTTTGCCCTTTTTTCTATTTTAATATACCCTAAAATCATGCCTATTTAATTTCAATTTAACAACTTAATCCATCATAAAAAATTAAAAGACAAGAAAATATCTAAATACCCCCCGCGGCTGTCTTGCTGATCGTGGCCGTTTGTGATTCGTGAAGCGTTCCACGTTTAATGATGATTGACGCACCAATTTCAACGGACAAATCAACCGTCACAAAAACCATATTCTTCAGTTCCATTTTAGTCTAGTTTTCTTTTGATCACAGCTACCAAGACGGAAAATTCACCTTCCTTTCTACAGAATTCCAATATACGACGAAGGCGTCCTTGTCTTTTTGCCTTCCAGAATTCGGGACCCCAAAGAGCTTTGAAATCTTCCAACCAGTCCAAGTAATTGACCCAAGATTACCAATTAATTTCGACATTAATTATAAGCTGAAGCAAGCTCGATCGTGTCCGTTCTTGATATTTGATATTCTAACCCTGCAATGAGTACTGAAACTCTCCATCTAGCTTCTACACAAAAATATATATTTGAGGAAATTAATATAATATATGCCACTGAAAAATACGGTGCGCATGCAATAATATGCGACCAATATGTATATATATATATATGCAATTCATGTAGATTTAACTTCTAATATTTTCAATCACTTATGAAAGTGACGAGGGTGTTGCTTTTCTTATTATTCCAGCTATATGTATATAAATTTTTTCTTGATATATAGGACGGTGTGGATTAATATCAGAAATCTCAACGTCAAGAAGTCTTAATCTAATTAATGTAACAGCTAATTATATACGTATATATTAAATTAATGCAACCAAATGCGATGATTAATAATGTAGTAATGAGAATCGGTATATCTCATAATACTTTCTAATCCTGTGTCATTAAGCTGATGTATGCCCCCACTGAATTACGTATGCCTGATTGGGCTTATACATTTTCATAAAAAATTTTAACTTCAAAAGATAGGTAAATTATTGGTTAAGGTTTTTTCATTTCTTCACTTTTTTAAATTTGAACCAAGCATACAGCAGAAGAATATATTCTTCCAATGCATCAAGTTAATATAATTAAACAATACGTTTTTGAAATAATTTAGAGAAAATTTTTTATCTCAATTAATAAGTAAGATAATTAGCTCGATAACACCTGAACATCAACTAGAAAAAGGAAAAAAAAAAAAGAAAAAGGAAAACATATATATATATATATATATCAACCTTCTTCTAAATAAATTGATTCTGGACTAACTAACAAAGACAAGAAGAAAAACCCTAATCTCCTTTACTCCCATTCGAATTTCTGGATTTTTCTATAGCAAACACCCTCTTTTATGCCATACACTTCTTTTAAAAAATCATATATATGGCTGTTTTAGGAACCATGTTTATCCCTTTCCAGCTTTTATAATTATCTTATATATCTCCCTTATTTACTCTCTCTCTCTCTCTCACTCTCTCTCTTATAATTGTTCGCTCTGACATAAATATAAAGAGAAGCTAGCTAACACCAAACTCAAAGAAACACAACAAGGGAGAAGTATGGGGAGGGCTCCTTGCTGCGACAAAGCCAACGTGAAGAAAGGCCCATGGTCACCTGAAGAAGATGCAAAGCTCAAGTCATATATAGAGCAGGATGGCACTGGTGGTAACTGGATTGCTTTGCCTCAAAAAATTGGTAATATTTTAACTTACATCTGAATGCACCGGCCTTGCTTTCTCCCTTTGATCTCATGCTCTTTATTCATTAAGTTCTTTTTCATCGATGCAAGTCCCATAAATAAAAGAAAATTGATGTTAATTTATCAATTTTTTTGCTTGTCTCTTATGCTGCAATACATGAGTGTTGTTTCTGAATCAGGCCTTAAAAGATGCGGCAAGAGCTGCCGCCTTAGATGGTTAAATTATCTTCGCCCCAATATTAAGCATGGAGGCTTCTCCGAAGAAGAAGATAACATAATCTGTAGCCTCTACATTAGTATTGGAAGCAGGTGGGTATCTGTCACCGATACTACTTGATTAATTGCTAATATAATTCAGACTCGTATTTTAAGTTAAAATCATGAACTAGCTAGATTATATTAGTAATAATATTCTATGTTCAACGTGCTAAATTGCTAAAAATGACTTTGCTTTTGCATGAACAGATGGTCTATAATTGCAGCACAGTTGCCGGGAAGAACAGATAATGACATAAAGAACTATTGGAACACAAGGCTGAAGAAGAAGCTTCTTGGTAAGCAGCGCAAAGAGCAACAGGCCCGTAGAAGTAGTGGCCTGAAGCAAGAAATGAAGAGAGGAAATGGAAATCCCATGGTTCCAGCTGATAACAATAACCAAAACCCTTATTGGCCGGAGCTGCCTGTACTCGATCCCATACCATACTCTAACCAAGAACCGCATTTCAATGACCATGCCTCTATCAGGAAATTACTCATCAAGCTTGGAGGAAGATTTTCTGATGATGATCAAGTGAATTACAAAGCTATAAATCCCCAATTCCCACTTGATGTATCCTATACTCAGCAACTTTATGATGATCAGTCCATCAATATCTCCTCTTCTGCTTCAATGGAGGAGGCCTTGAATAATACTGATGCTCAATTTGCACAAACACAGTACAACAAAGATGGGACTGCAGGTTTGCAACTGTTGCAAGGACAAAGCAGTTTTCCTGCGGGGTTTGAGCAAATGGTTAGCAGCAACCCACCAAGACTGGACGGGCTGGAGTTTCTGCTAGGTGAGGATGTGGTTAGTAACAGAATAAGGACTAGTTATGGTACTGAAAGCATGATTGATTGCGGCGAGATGACCTCTCTGATTTGTCCTCCAGATGCTTCAAATTGTGAAGGGATACAACAAAGGTTGCTGCAAGAATGTCCTTATGTTGAGCTGAGGTACCCTGGGCCACTTTAATGCACATGCATGATTTGTATACTTAGATTTGTTGCAATAATATTAGGAAAGTTGTGTTGGATCTTATTGAAAACCCTACTTATTGAACTGATTTGTGACATGGTTTGCCTTCTATATGGATACATCTATAATTTATCTAATTAATTAGCAAGTTACCTCTTGAGCTCTTTTAATGTATTTCAGACCATGCTGGCAGCCAATTTGTTGATTAAACTCAAAGATTCTAAAGGGGTATGTTTTAATTTAAGATCGATGTGGACAAAAAAATATAGCTGTTAAGAGGATTTCAAAGGCATATGGTTAAATGCATGTATAATTAAGTTTATGAATGAAGTTAAATGTGTTAAAGGATGATCTCATCCAAAAGCGTAAGTTATTAGGTAAAATCCAGAATATGATTATATTATTTTTTAACAAAATGCATCGTAAAACTTCAACAATTCTATATATTCTCTGAGATCTGAAAACATGACAGTTATTTGATGTTTAAGGAATCGAGATCCCATCTCAGTTTGGTACGAATTATTCATAATTAGTATGAGATGCGTTTAGTTTAATAAAGCATGGAAAATTTCAATAAATAAATAAAGCCCACACAGCTGCTCTGAAGAAGAAATGCCTAAGATGTCTAATTAGGTCCCTGAGATGTTTGCATGTTTTATTTTTCCCTTGATTAATTTGGAAAGAGGAAAATCAACATCTCTCGAAAAATCATTATCCAACCGTATGTATCTGATCTTCTCTTGCAGTGTACGTAGTGCCAAGTAAATTTCTGTTTGTTGCAATTCCTTAAAATCTCCAAAAGAAGGAACTTAGTCAGACATATTAAGCATTTTTAGGTTGATTAATTCGACTAGGTCCATACAAACCAAAACAGTCTAATTAATTGATTAATCTGTGACCTTTGGTATTGCCATTGGCTATATATTGAAATGAGTCTCTTCAATGTGGTTGTTTTAATCCGTATAAATCAAGTTTCTTACTATTTTTAACATATATAATTAGTTAATTAAGCTCTCAAAAATTAGGATATATCAATGTTTTTGCATTACATAAACACATGCCTCAATTAATGTTTAAAAACATTAAAACACAAATTTGCAAATTAGGAAAATATACTTGGCGCGCCTATGCTTTTAGATACATGGATTATTGTAGTAAGATTAATTAGTGGCCTTTTGTTAATTAATTTTATTGATAAAAAAGTTGTTTTTCCAAACTTCCAAGTAAGATAGATTCACCATCATTGTTGTAATAAAATATGTAAATAAAAACATAAATAACAAATCTAAAATCTTTGCAGAGAGTCTAAAACCTTTTTGTTTATATTAAATCAGTAGGCAATAATATTAAATCACTTTCTAAATTTCACAATTCAAGTGCAATACTATTTCTCCTTGTTTTTATCTTTGCAGAGAGTCTAAAACCTTTTTGTTTATTATGTTATTTATTTTTTTATGTGTCTTTATCTCTGATTCTTAAAACATATTTATATGAGAGTTAATTACAATAATTGTTTTGTTTTTTTCAATAATAATTTTATTATTGAGTCAATCCATCTTGGGCGACCCGACCCAAATCTATTTTTCTAACAATTGAAAATGAATCTTTCACAATTTCTTTGCTAGACTCAGTTTAGTCAAAGTCCTACGAGTATTCTAATCCTAATTTAAAGAAGAATAGGAATTAGGAAGGATCCTGGCTGCTAAGAGTCAAATATCATGCAAAACTACTCCTTTTAATTGGCATTCAATTCGTCAGGTAGATATGCTAATCCAAGCATGGCGGCTACTTAACAATTTTATATATAATCCACCCACTTATTTATAAGTATAGTACCCTTGACTCTTCAGAGATTTGAGGTCAAATGTTAAATATTTTTCACAACGCGATTGCCTTAATTTCAATGCCATATCAATAGTGTTAATTTTAGTGACAAGATCATTGAATGTATTTTTGGGACGTAATGGAGGATTGCGTTGTTGTTGATTTATACTGGCAACAAGCATAGATAGTTTGCTATACATGGCAACAGACACAAGATCTTCCAGCATTTGGAAAAAGGCAAGATAGTCTCTTGCGGCATTTGTAACTGTCGCTAAACATTTCAAGGATTATCTATATTTTGCAGCGTTTGAGGTTTGTTCTTTGTTCTTTTATTTGTCTTTTCAATCAATGAGTGCGGCCTTTGTGCTTGACTTTATCATAATAATTAGTAAATCAGTGACAAACTGATTGATGTCAAGCTCGATATTTTTCGAATTTGTTTATACAAATGCATTGCCACGATGACATTTGATTTGTGTCAATATCATTTCATCTCATCCAATTGTTCAATTGTTGAACAAAGGCGGCACAACAAAGATCATAAATAACCACGGGGCCAGGAAAAAAACCATTTGAGAAATGCTTTTCCTTTTTCAGCATTACATTTGGCAACTCATTAATTGTTTCAAGAATATAATTCTTCTAATTAAGTCATCATTCATTATGTACGGACCATATTTATGTGTGTGTATATATATAATCATGACTATAGCAGATCTTCAGTGGATTCTCATGTTTTATTATTTAGAGTAATTTGAAGAGTGAGTAAAACAAAACTGGCACCTCACAGACAAAAACACTGACTCAGGTATTACGTTGTTTAATGTCTTTGTGTTTTCGATTCAGTAAACGAGCAATATTCAATAGCCGTACGTTTTGATGTTCCCCACAAATCCACTTAGAAGCCTTCCTTATTTTTCTCGAGCAGACATAATGAGTTAAATTGTGAAATGAGGCACTCAAAGGTATGTATGCTTGTGCTTCAAATTTATTTAAAATAACAGACAAAATAAAAGAAACCACATATATACTTAGTCGATTGGACAAGTTTTGAGTATCTCTTTATACATATTACGTATAGATTTCGAACGAGGAATTTCATTAATTAAAGCTGATGATGATCATGATGATATCAATGTTGATGGTTGCGCTTTTAAATTGCATAAGGGATTATAGCGTTATTAGAAAGAAGAACTTGGCCCGAAGTTTCTCTTACAAGATTTCTTTTCTTTTTTTCAAATTACAAGAATTCTTTTGAGTGCATGACCTGAATGGCCATCAATATTAAATGAGACACCGATGGTTACCTAACAATAGACCAAGCTGCAATCATTTAATAAGCAACCCCAGTCGACATGGTTGTACTCACATGGATGATGGATCTCCATTGGTTAATCCCATTTTGTTTTGATCAATATGAAAAATTAATAAAACCCATTTTGAGACGCATAATATTTTCATTCCTCTAAAAAAATGTGAGACTTCCGACACTAGTTATATATAATAAAGTGAAAACACTATATATGCTCATATAAATCATTTTCCCAATCATATGGTTAGACAGCATGTATATGTTTGCCCAAATGAGTATCCTTAATATTTATGTTTCATTGATTATTTACTTGTATATATGGATAACCGGCCAGCATTTTCAGGGTAAAGTTACTCAAGTTCTGCCATATTATATTTAGATTTCCTAGTCTATATGCTTGATAAGCAGCAGTTCAAAAGAGAAATCAAATCATACACAAGTTTGTATCTCCTGATATCAAGTACGGACACAATCTGCTAATTAATTTTACATCTTATACACAAAATTAGCATAATCCTGTCTTTGAACAAAAGTTGGGTAACGGACCTAATGGCTATTTTGGTACATGCATGTTACTTGTTTCCAGCAGGTTCTAAGAAAACATATATACGGGGGGAAACAAACTTCAAGAAGATTATAAACCCGAAAGAACAAATTTCAAAATCAAACTGAATCCGTGCTAATAATTTGCTTTTAACCTTTTCGGAAATATGGTCAAAGAACTGTATATACTCTCTCATCTATGAGCTGACCACAAATACCATATTTAGTTGTATACAGTTGTAAAACTCTAGATCAAATTAAACTATCTTTTCAAGTTGACAAATTAACCTCTTGGTTGGTAAGCCATATGGTCATGATTTGTTAGAATTAGTTGACAAACTTTGAAAATTTTCAAGGTAGTTTTGTCAAAGCTATTCAAAATGTTGGCCCCATTAATTACTCCATTAACAGATACAATTCTCAGATTCAACTCACCAGAAAATAGCAATTGTATAATCTGTAAAGATGCTTATGTTGACATCCATTTTCTCCGTGCATTGAATGAAAATTTTCAATTCGTACCCAAAGCCATTCGAAAGTGCCACTACAAAAGTTCTCAGCTAAAATGGCTGCTTGAGGCCGTTTAGATTGGAGAGAGGTATGATACAAATTTCTTCACAGATCGACCAATCAAACAAAATCCTAGTTTCAAAAAATTTCGGGTACGTATGCAGAATCTATTTAACAGAAAAGAAATTGAATGCGGTAAATATCTGTGGATGATGCTAAAAAATTATCATTATTTTTATGTATTACCTGCATGCACTAGCATTTTAATTAGAAAACCTAGACACTACAGTACGTCTTAATTAGAATATAGTGCCTGAAATGATTTTTTTATTTTTTATTTTTTTAACGAACAAAGAGCAAACACACCAAATAACTCATTAGCACAGATGAAATATAAGAGTTGTAGATAAAGACTTTCTAGACTTGTCATTTCTTCATATAAAAAGTTTAAGTAATGAATTCAAGTACGATTTTATCATATTTCTTATCATTTTTGTGTACTGACCATTTACCCTCCCGAGTTTTTTGATATAGAAGTTTTTATACCATATTAAAATACTATTTCAATCTAAAAGATTAAAATGAAACTCTAAAAAACAAAATGTTTTATATTATTATTAACTCTCTAACATTTAGTCATAAAGAAGACTTAAATATTAAGTAATTATCTGGCCGACATTGGTAACTTCAGTTTCAATCGCTTACTTCCAAAGTAACTAATTTGCGGACATTTAAAGCAGATTGGACTGTGGACATAAACACACACACATGTATACTTTAGCTAGCATGCATGGAAAGGAGGCACCGGATAAAGTTACGCCAAATTTGTCATGGAAATAATAAACCTGGATATATTTATAAACTAATATAACCTTTATATATATATATATATATATATATATAATTTCTTCCAATAAAGTTAAAAGGAATATCCTTCTTGAAGAAGAAACATAACAGAAAAAGCTCTGAACAAAAAACCAAGATTTAAAAATTGACGCACTGAAGCACATTCTGTGTCAACTCAATGACGATAATAAGCACCAAAATGTCCGTGATTAAGGCCCTTGGCCAAGCAGCAGCCCTAGCCATGACAACAGCCAAACGACGACTTCTGTCACCACTTTTTCATTTTATATAAATGCAAACCCCGCCCAATATATATTAAATAGGACATTATTTAGAAGTAATCTGCAATATAATGTTTGTTTATACAATGACAGTGACACTCACTAACATGAGAATTCTATTTCATTTGTCCTACTGTTAGACCTGACCATCTTGTTCTTATTAGAAAATGAATATTTTTTTTTAAAAAAATTATCTTAGCGTGAGGTATGTATAAGGGTTTAATAGGTGTAAATTAAATTAATTAATTCTTATTCCGAGAAGAAGAAGAGGTATCCCTGATCGCATTTCATTCAGCTGTCAAAAAGTAGGATAAGGAGATAATGATAGTTCCTAGAATTGGGCATTTTGTTAATTTTATAGTCTGAACATTTCCTTTTATATATATATATATATATATATATATATATAATGACTGCAATGGAGCACCCTAGCAATATTTCCCCACGGTACCCAAAGAAAATTTGGATTTCATGTGCTTAGATTAGTGTATCAAATTAATTTTAATTTTCATTAGAATGAATGGATTTTATGGGAAAGAATAGCTCCCGTTAATTTGCATAAAAACTCGACACCTAATGAGTTAATAAAAAAAAATTAGAAGAATAAAAAAAATAATAGCATCATGCTTAATTTTAATTAAAAAATTCTCAGAATCAAATTATTTCATTGTAATGAGTTCGATGATATTACTTTTAAAAAGAAATGTTGTTGGATACTTGATTACCAAGGCTATCTTTATCGTTAGAAGCAAAATAATGGTAAATGCAATGCTTAAAAACATAATCCAATATGATGTCGTCAAAGAACCATCGCAATCCAAAAATTTAACTTATTAAGTAAGATTTCATGATATAACTTATATTACTTTTTAACATATTTTTTTTAAGAAAAATTTCTTTGAATTTGAAATTTATATAGATCCACAACTATTTTATATATGTTTATGTTTAATTATTTAATTTCAATAAGAAAGAAAGAGATCGTAACTATTTGATCGTTAAGATTCTTTATATTATATTATAAAATTATTTCAGTTCAAAAGGTTAAACTATTATGTTACATCTTAAAATATGATTTATATTATTCTTTAAGAGTATATAAGACTCCACGAATCTTTCATTCCATAATTTCCAATCTCTAAAATCATATATCTTATGTTTCAAAATAAAGGGGAAAAAAAGAGTAAAGGCCTAATTTAGCCTTAGCATCTATATTAATTCGACAAATAAAAAGCTCGTTTTCCCCTTGCTTTTCTAACTTTCACTGTTTTACTTTAAATTAAAGTAATTAAAATTACACAAATAATGTTTTGTGAAGATTTTAATAATCAAGTTGTTTAACTTTTGAAAGTAGAAGATGATTTTTATAAAATTAAGTTTCAAAGAATATTAGCTTCCACTTAAAAAATATATGAAGTGATGTTTTTTTTTAATAAAAGATAATTTATTTTGTTTAAAAGATAAAAATAACTTTAAATAATCTTAAATCATAAAAATACCAATCTTGCATATTTTATATTAATATATAGTTTGTATATTAGTGTTTAAAAAATATTATAAGATGTTTTGATGATTCTTCTTCTTTTTGTACTTATATTATTCATGACTTTTTATTTGATGGATGAAATAATTTTCATGCTTTCAAGTAATTTATTTGATTTTTTTAATGAAAATCTTGAAGTTAAGTAGTTATGTTTTTAGTAGTAATTGGTATACTAAATATTCAAATGATTTTACTCAAAACACAACACATCATTTTATTACCAAAAAATTTAATGCTTTTGACCTTGCAACCCATTATGGCACAGCACAACTCAACAAAGACCAAACATGACTGGCACAGCTCAAATTCCTGTTAAATTAATAAGTAAATAAATGAGAGAGGGAGATAGCAAACGACTGGCCCAGTTTCTGTAATAATCCAGCGGGCAAGCTATTTGAGAGAGGAGGACCCAACAGTTGAACCTAAAATGAATTTCAAGCCATTTATTTACCAGGCTCATAAAATGTTATGGTTGGCCCAAAAACAAACTCCGTGACGGGCCTAAAATGACCAGCATGCCCACACCCCTGATAAACCCTAGAGGCTAGAAAAAGAAATTGGCAGGAAAAGAAAGAAGGGAAGGTGATGAAGTGATAGAGCAATCAATAAACCAAGTCAGTGTCAATGGCACTTCTCGCTTCTTTAACATTGTCTTCAAGTCCAAAATTTCAGGTATCCTCGCTTTGCACTGTATTTTTACTCGTACTTATTATGCTATCTGTGTGGGTCGATGGTTTTGCTCCTGCAAATTGCAATAGCATGCATGTCATAACCATAGGGGAAAAAAGAATTATTGGTTGTTATTGGTGATCTATGTAGTTACAGGTTTACTAGTAAATTTGGGGTTTAATTTTGTTGGACTATTGTTTATGGTGTAATAGAGGCAAGGCTATGGTGGTTTTAACAAAGAGCTTGTAGTCTAGTGGTAGTGATGTCTTGCAATAAAAGGTCACGGGTTCATATCCTAGCAGAATAGTTCTGCTAGGAGCCTTGGGTGTTTGAGTTTTTTTTTTAAAAAAAAAAGGGCTATGGTGGTTTTGTGGAAAAATAAACACTCACAGTGATTGACAATGTGCAGATAAGAAGTTGCGGAAATTTTCTCTAGATTTTGGTTGGAGTAATGAATCTGGCATGCCTAATAGTGTCATTGGTGTAGTTTGATTCGACATTAATTTTAAGTTTTACTTATAAATATATTGAATTTGTTTTATGAATGGTGCGCATAGGGTACGATTGAAATTCTGCAATTTATACGAAACAGTCTTCAAATCTGCACATATGAGTGCATCTTTTTATTCTTTTAAAACTTTTCATGGTGGAATTATGAGTCCTTGTAGTATCCATATTATTTTTGCATGACATTATCTTTGGCCCTTTATGCAGATTAAAGTGTTTAGAAATAAACCCTGTCGATTACATAGGTGCTTACTGTTACATGCACCTCACCAAATCTCTCCAACATGTTCTATGAAAGTCACGAAGGCCCATTTTGGTGAACCAAGTAAGGTCAAGTTGCAATTGAATATTGTCAAAGAGAGGTTGTGGAGTGCCATCCCCTACTCCGCCAAGGAATTTCCTTGGAGAAAAGCTGAGGATGTGCTGTTTAAGCGATTACTGCTAGTTGGTCAGAAGGCATTTAAATGGTCCCTTATAACACTTTTCCTGTTTAGTTCTCTATCCGATGTTATGTTTTCCATCTCTAGAAACCGGGAATTGATGATTCCTTTTGGTCTTCTAGTTGGCTGCTTGATGACTGACTTCTTGAAAGAGATATCAATGGAAGTGTTTCAAGCTCCAGAGGTAAATTCTACTTTGTATTCTTCCCCGTGTCTTTCAGTTTTTTTCCCCCTCTGTTTTTTAAGAACAAATAGATTAACGTGTTGCTTTGTTTATGTGTTTTTTGTTTTGCGTGTTGAACAGAAAAGAAGACTGAACTTGCTGCTGCTGGGTATCAGCTGCTTCTTTGCTCTTGTGAAGGTCATTTCAACATATTTTACACCTAGTACACAGGCATTTCTTTTGCATGTTGCTAACGGTGGGTTGATGCAAGTTTTGCGGCAGTGGAGTGATTCATTGAAAGAAAACAATCAAGTTGATGATGAAGAGAATATCTCGGCTGGCCAAAATACTTAAGTGGCCATGGCTGCAGAGGAATAAATTAAATCTAATTAATTGCTTCTGTATATTGGATCGTGAACAAGATATATGGTTCTCAGGTTATATCCTCAGAGCTATGCATGCAAATGGTTAGCTTCTTCTACACTTGACGTTGCTTTGTAATGTGCAGCGTGGCTTGTTCCATGGACGATATTATGTTGTCAGTTATAAGGCAAGAAAAATATTTGGATTGTAGCATAGACCCAAGAAAAATGTTGGAGCACCTAAAATGACATGGAGATAGAGTGTCATGTTCAGATCTTCTGGAGCTGCTTTTTAATCCGTTACTGATGCGAAGAGAAGTCCAGGTAGCACAGGCCCAACTTACTACAACCATTGCAGTGTCGTCTCAATGTTATTTCAAATTCTCGCATGCCGAAACGTCGCCGGTTATTTCTATGTTACATATGACAAGATACAACAGCTACCAGCAACGTAAGAAACTTCCAGAGGGTATATATGTTTCTGGACCTCATCAATTAACATATTCTGTTGTTTATGCTCTGATGCGACAATCATTGGGAAAAGGGCGAACAAGGAGAACCCAGGAAAGTGGAGAGACACCGATAAGATTGGTAGTAGACACCTGGGCGGATCATTCGTGGATGCTGCATTGATTAGTAGGGGTTCAGGGCAACAACAATTTAAATCTGTCAAGAACGATCTCTTACTTGTACGCAACAACAATAGATCGCTTAAATGCATGCACATCAAATGTTCTGGTCCGCAACCGATAAACACTGAGTACAAATAAAAAAGGCTTATCCACTATTCAGTTCTACTTACATCCGTGCATAATTACATACAGTGGAGTCCATGAACAGCACAACCAAGGAAAGAAAAACAAAAAAGATGATGCAAAGCTCCATTGTATACCCATAAAGCACTAAATTTTCCAGCCAAACCCTACTGTAAATCTTCTGTACAGATTCTAAATGACACCTCTTGCGGTCAAAACTTCTCTTCAAAACACCTTTGCACTGGGAAGCACCATTGGTAATTGGATGGTGTTAATTTGCACAAAAGTATAAGCTAAATTACTCCACAATAGAGTCTTCTTTTCCGAAATTGCAGACGGCACAAGGTTCACTTACTTCACTGGGTTCTTTTCCTGAAAAGAAAAGGAGACAAAGCCAACAAATTAATCTTCGATTCCAGAAAGAATCAAGTCTTTCAAGGGTTTGGTGAAACAAACCTGGCTTGGTGCCCTCTGGAGCCTGGATTTTGTCCTCATGGACCTCGTGTACAGATTTACGGTATTCGTGAGAAGTTAGGGGGAACTGAGTCAACTGACAGTATGCTGAATGCAACTGTTGATGGATCTCTTCCATCTGCCCAGACTGCTCATCTCGTCTATCCATCTCAATAAGAACCTGAACAAGACAAGCTAAGCTATTAACTTCGAACAGGCAGGAAGAGAGAGAGATTCAAAACCAAACCAATTTCTGATGATCACCTGTGCAACATTATTCTTAAAAATTGGGAAAAACCGCTGCCTGCAATACTCATTAAATAGAAGTGTGCAAATAATCAGCGGAATGGAGAAACCCGATGACACTGGAGATTTTTTAATTCCAAAAACCCCAAGAGCTATAATTTGCGTCAGCACCAATGAAAAGATTGTGGTGTTGTGAACAATAGGCCAGAACTGTCCTCCGCTTTCATACTTTGGCACATATACATTGACAATCTGCAAGATGACTGAGAACTAAATATAGAAGGCACCTTTAATTGGAGACCAGCATTAATAGAAAAAGCAATTAAAGAATAGGCAACAGGCAAAAAAAAAAAAAAAACACTATTAAAAGTCTATCTTTCTCTCCCACATGCAGTTTTTGCACCTCCTATTTACCATGTAAACAATTATAGATCATAAATAATAATAATAAGAAGAAGAAGAAGAAGAATAAAATTCCTTATTCCTAAGTGGAGAACCCTCTCCTTTCCTCTCAACTCAAAGGCGAAAGATGAAAGATCAAATATATATCCTTAAAGAGAAACTGCATCCTCTTACACGTGCAAATCTAGATAAAGTTTTTGGAATATTCTATAAATAAGATGAAACAGGCAAAGTGTTGGGTAAAAAAATACTTTTTCAACTCCACATTTAGAACAACAAAAATCAAGGGGTCCATCTTTGGCACATTGCTTAGCAACTTTCCATACCTACTTTCACAATAGCCAGAAAATTGTCATAGATAATAGAACCACATGTTGACTCCTGATGAAATTTGAACGATGAAGCATATCCAGCGATAGGTAAGGTACACACACAAAGTGCCAGATTTTGAAAATCAGAAAGTGATGCAACAAAAATGCTTCAAATTCAAAAAAATCAGGTGCCGACTCATATGTTACAGAGAAGTTTATAAAAAGCTTCCTTTCTCGTTTGGTCCACAATTTTCAGAAGATACAAAAAGTCACTGAATCAGCTACCAGTAAGAATCCTAATGCTCAACTAAATTTCATGCTGATGTAAAGGGTTCTAGGGTTCTGGAATTAAAGTGACTGAAAACAGGTGTGTTATAAGGATAAATGTATTGGACACAGGCAAAAACACATTGAATGTCAAAAACATACATATAAGATAGCTTCCTTGCACAGAGAAACACCATGTAAAATTTAAAATTCGAGCCAATTTACTTGCAGAATATGAACAAGAACAGAAAACAAAGATGGGAGAGGTTGTCACCTGATTTCGATATACAAGGTAAGCGAGTAAAAAGTAAATCAGTAAAAAGGGCAATATTAAAGGTGCCATGACAGAATAGGTGAAGCCAATGAGACCAAACAGCAAGACTCTTGGAACTTCAGTATGGTATGGAAAGGACAAAAGGCCATCAGTCGTGTCTTCTTGGTTTCTAAGAATGCGTTTTTTAAGGACATTGCAGAGAAGAGAAAAAGGTTGCATCACTTCACATGACAGACTTGCCCAACCTGATGTTAAAACATAAGTCACGAAGAAGCTAGCCTGCACGTATTGAGAAACCAAATTATAATCGAATAATTTGATAAGAAAAATTTCTATGAGTGAAAGCTTTTCATTTGTATGAAATCCAATACGAAATTAAAAAATAAATAAATAAATAAATAAGAGGGAGAAATTGTAACATAATAAATCCCCTCATTGCATCTGTAACACAAAATACAAGATTTACAATCCCATAACTTGCATGGAAGATTAGAACTCCTGGAAGCACAAGCTATACACAACATAAAAAACCAGAAATAACAAAAATACATAGGCCAATGTGTGCGTATGTAAATAGAGTGTCTAAGTTGGGGGAATGAATTTATCAAATCTCCAGAATTACAGAAAACTCACCTGATTAGGTAGTGCTTTGGCAAGTTCTGCAGGAAGGTCTCTTACACTAGATAACATATTGAATGCAAAGAGAAAACCTCCTGATAAAAGATTAACAAAGAAAACATTCCAAATTGTGAAGTACAAGATTTTCAAGCATGCACTCCTTTTCCTTCCACTACGAGAAACAGGCCCCTCGACTGATGAAAACAGCATCATCGTTGGTGGAACAGTATACAGAAACAACATCAAGATAACACTTGGCAAGTAACCAGTCACCACATGTTTTATAAGGTCCCTGCACAGCAGTACAGAGTAAGATTGCAAATGAACGTGCATATTTCAGAGTCTGCAATGAACTATACTTTTATCCATTCTTCTCACTCCTCTCCTCCAGTAAACTTGTGCATTCAAACCGAAGAACAACTCGAAAAAATTTGAAGAAGTGCCATAAATGAATAGCTAGATGTAATCTATTAGCTAGATATAATACAATCTTTATTATCTGAGCCATGCTGATGACAATTAAGCCCACAAAAAACAAAAGAGAGGGAGGCCTTTTCCTTTATGCATATAGTAGAAACATGGATCTTACTGAAGTAAGCTGTACCAGGCAGATTAAATACAACACTTTTACTATGGTACCAATGTGCAGGAAGATCTAGAACGAACTCAATTGATTGATCAATAAAAGCTGCTATCAGAAACCAATTGTGCACAAGAAAACAATAGCCTGCTGTTCGATTATCAGTACTTAGTTGTAAGATTCACGTAATATATATGCACCAAGATTCCCAAGACTCAAAAAATATTACTGAATATACAACAGTTAGAAATTCAGTGTCTTATTCTTTTAGTTGGAAAGAAAAACTGATTCAACAGAATTTTGCATATCAGAAACATTTGCCAACAACGACGTATGGTCACATAAAATCATTTTAACCAGGAAAAAAAAGAAACACATGAAACATGCTAGAAGTAGATAGCAACAGAATTAAAAATAGAGCGCACAAACCACTGGCACAATTATCATAACAATAAAGTGCTTACTGTTTTAGAAATCCTCTCAGAAAAGGAAATGTTTTTGACAGTTTCTCTAGTTGAGCCAAGCTTTGTACAAAGGTCACTGGAGCGAGAAACAGAACCATGAAGAGTATAGCAGCCAGAAGAGTTGCTATCTTTCGGAGCCAAAGCTGTCTAAATGGTATACAGAGGTTTGACCACAAAATATCATGAGGTTCTGGGGCCAATTCTGTCACCCATGACATAGGATTTGGCGATTGAAGCATCTGTGTGGCAACCACAGCAGCATAGCGGGTCTTGAAAAAAACAAAAGCAGCAGAACGCTCCTGTATTGCAGCCAGAAAAAAGAATTAGCAGACGAGCAACCATTTTCACTTAAGTGCAGGCAACTAATATCTGTTTTCGAACCCTAAACGAACATAAATGGTAAAAAGCAATGACTAACAACATGCCAAAGGAGATAATGGGAGTCAAAAAGGAAACAAATCACATGTTCTCTAATAAATTGTAGAAAACAATAATCATGACCACATCTATTCTTCCTGTAATTAGAAACAATTATCTATTAGAATAATTATTCAATGTGATTGGCCAAAAAGGAGCACAGCTTATGCATTCACAATGATGAAGATACAGGCCTAAAAAACATGAAATTGCTTATATGGATGTGACCCATATTATACCATAACCTATGGACTGAGCTGCAACAAAAACAGAGTACATCAACAAGTTACAATAGGCCTTCTGAAAATTGTTGTCCATATCAGAGACAGAAACTTGAGGTTGAGGGTGGGCAACAAAACCACACAATTGAGCAATTGCTCAGTATATCCTATCTGTACACTCCTCTGACATCCATGTGGAGCCCATAAATCGTTCCTATAAGGGAGCCACACAGGAATGCAAGACAAGGGTGCACAAACGAAGACTACAGAATAACTACTCCATGATGAGGATAAGATACATGCAATACTACAAGCTAAGGAACATAGAACAAAAATTAGAAATAAAATAAGTAAAGATGAATAAACAGTGTAGTTCAATATTACTTGAACTTGCTTGTGTCAAGATGTTTACATTATCCCTTGGGGCAAGATCCAAATCAGAATAGCTGAAACCGTCCTTGACATTTCCTGGTTCATCAGTGAGGACTTTAAAAGAAGTTGCACTTCCTCCACACAGACAACATGGCTTTAAACTTGATCGGCCCTTAGGAACAGCCTTAAGCCTCATACACATCCTCTCTGCATCAACCTGCAACAAAGCATTGCAAAAATTAAAAACGAAAATGGTATGTACCATAACATACCAAAATGACATGAGGCTGCTAAAGTGAGAGGAACAGAAGGGACAATCAAACACCCAGATAAGTTAAATCCTGAGCAATTAACTCAAAATTATGTTAATATCAACTAATACACTGAAAAACCAAGATGGGACCAAAATTAAGAACCACTTAGTTATAAAAAGTAATATAGCATACAACATATTGCCTCTAAAATCAGGATGTCTAATATAAGCACATTGCTACAGTAAATTTGAACTTTAATTTGTTTCTATTTAATTTATGGTTTGGTTGTTCTCGACCAAACTTAATAAAACACCATAATTATTAAGAGAATACATGAATAAACATCTGATTCTAGCATCTATTTTATACAAAATAAAAAGACCTCAACAGTACAATGCAACAAACAAAGTGAACTTGATCACACTGATAAATAGCACTCTATAATAAAAATGAAGGGCAGTTAGATAAAAGAGAGTGAAATATTAAGGAAAAGATCAGTGAGGCTGAGGCATGGCAGCGTTGCACAATGCATTCATGAACTTGGAAACAACTGAGTAAATGCAAGACACTGTTAGTAAAGAATGTATTACTGTGCAACAGACCCAATATCCACTGAAAAATTATGTTCATGGCATTTAGAGAAGACTAAGGAAACAATGACAAGAACATTATCTGCAAAGTAGCAACAAAAGACTCGCCTTACAGATTTATAGAATTAAGGCCTAAATAAGTGAAAATGGCAGGCTGACCACAAATGGTGAAATGAGGTTTTTTCCATTGTTTTTGACAAAAAAAACATCCACAAATTAGTTGGTGGAACAGATGACATATCTGCTAATAAGCTCATAAAACACAATTTTCTTCCTTTTTTTTAGCACAGGTCTAGTTGGATCCTTATGACCATAGTTAGCTGCTTAGCCATTCTGAGAAGTATGGAAAAGTATCACAACTATATGACTTTATAGTTGGCAATAACAAGATAAATACTTTTGAAAAACGCATATCCATCTTAGCCATCAAAAACCATGTGCGAAAGTTAGTGAATGCAGATGTTACTGACTATTGCACATAATAGAAACGCAAATTCCAAGGCAAACCGTTTGAGAAGGCATGTAGGTAAAGCAAAACAATGATCATTTGAATCACATACGCACCATCAATTTTTGAACTGTACCACATCGATACACAATTTGATGTGACAAGTAGCTTGATGCATAATAATTTGTAAAGAATTTCTTCACAGAATTACTGTATGATTCTTCCAATGAATATGGAATTGAACGGACAAGAATGGTAAAATGACTTGGATTTGGAGGAGATGTTGTTATGTGTGCTAGCCTCATCTTGGTGATGCTTTTGTATTCCTGGAGAAAAGGGGCTGTTGTTAAATAATCTTAGCATACATAATATGCAATCAATTAAGAGAGAAGTGGAAAGAATAGGTATCATTTATTTCCTTACAAAGTAAAGAAGAACACAGGTTGAGCAGGATATGATGTATAACGAGAGACAATGGACCCAAAGCCTGACATAGAATAAAGCAAAATAAAGAAAGGAATTGGTCATCATGATTCGTGGTTTTAAAACATTTAAGTCAATTAGTTGGACTGGCATAACAAATACCACCAAGGAGAAGCAACGGTCAGCAAGATAGCATGAAATCAATATTTTACTACAGAGGATTTAAACTTTATGAGCATCGAGGGCCATCTCCAGTACCATTTCACTAAATAAATAACTTCTCGCTGGCTTTACAAATCAAAAGGAAAAAGAAATGCAAAGGAATAAATATTCAAACAAAACAAATAAAGACAAGGCCAAATCAGATTCTCCACGTAATTATTGTTCTAGAGTTCGTAATCAATGATAAGAAATGGTTAAGTAGACATACAGGGCGTACCATGAATCAAAACGAGGACATAGCAAGTCAAATTTCTCAGTTTGAACCAACATAGAGATGGCTGAACATTAGTTAAAAAAACTAACGATAATAAGACAAAACAAAATAAAGCTCGCGACTAATACCATTTGGAGCCTTCTTTCACATTTGCAATTGTAAACACATTCAGGGACTCGGCATGGATATGCCTGTGTTTCATCTCCTGCCCATAATAATTCACAGGAAGCACTACGAACAGACACAGAACAGCTGCAATGGAGAAAACTCTGATACTGTACACAACGAAGAATAACACAGGCAGTAGTGACAAAATATGCACAAACCTAAAGTTATTCTAAAAGGAAGCAAATTGACTCGGGGCAATTTTCAAATTTAAAACTTCAGTCACCTCACCTGAAAACAAGTATCCTCTGAAAAACCACAGCATCAAGGCCACCAATGGCCAAGATTTCATTTTCAGTCGTTTCCCATGACTTGAGAATCCAGCTAGGAGATGGCACAAATCTTTCAAAGGAGAAATGATCTCTACTATTTCTGTTGTTTAACGAAGCAAGCCTCCGCCCGAAATACACAATCGAATTGCTTGGTTGTTTTCTCAATATTGAATACAGTGAAAAAAGCACCACAGACAAACCTGTATTGATACCGGCGGAAGTTAAAAGGGCAGCAATGTCCATCTAACCTCGGGCTTTTTTATCTACAAACATAAAAAACAATTCCAGATCACTATTGATATTTTCATCAAGCAATCCAGTGCAAAACGAAGAATCTTCAACAAAATCTAAAGCAAATGCTTAGAATAATTGCGAAAACGAAGCAAATCTTCGCTTACATCCGTTGGCGTATTCATCTTTCGATAACTTTGTCTACTTTACCAAAATACCCCCATGTTATAATTCTAAACTAGCCAAAAAAAAAAAACAAAAACAACAACAAGAAGCAAGCACTTGCTAAACAAGCGAAAATCAAATTGAAAAATAAAATAAAATCATGAACATGGACATGGACATAAAAGAGAAAAATGATTGAAAAAAAAAAAGCACTACATGCCTTATTAGAATTCCCAAGGCGAAGCGGAATGCATCAATGCACAAACCGAAAGCAGAGAAATTCCTCCAAAATGACGTGTTAAAAGGGAAATCAGGAACAATAATGTGATGATTTTTTGTGTTGACAAAAGCTCAAACAATGCCATTTGCCTCGCTTTTTTGCTTTCACTTCACATAAACCGGATAAGCCAACCCGACAATATTAAAAGAAATTAACAATTGCAGAGAGAAAAATTGAAATTCGAAAACCATAATAAATAAATCTCTCTTAGCTCTTTAATTTATTTGGGTGAGTCGAAGTTGGTTACTACACGCAAGTTGAAGGGGAGGGAAGGACACGTTGTCCGTTTATTAAAATTCGGAAGAAAGCAACGTAACTGCCACGTGTTAGACAGCGCTATGAAGATATTTAACCGACCAAACTGTCTCCGTCTTTATTTTTATTTTATTATTATTATTTTTTTTATGATGAAGCAAACTGTCATTGTTTCGGCACTGACTCAAAGATACGCTGGACGCGCGATTCTTACGCGATTAGCGTACACTAGTCATGAACCCTTGCGTAGTTCTGATCTCTGCAATTGGAAGATGTTACACAGTAACACAGGTGCCCGACGAGTTACAAACTACAATATCAAACACTTACTATATATATATATATACACACTAAAATATTTTTTATTTATTTCTGATAAATTTATGGTCTAAAAAAAGGAAAGCGTCGTTGGTTGGTGGACCAATATATTCTTCACATGACAATAAAAAGGAGAATTTAGGCTGTGTTTGCTTAAGGAACTTATTTTTTTATTTTTTAGTGTTTGTTTCGTGTTTAAAAAAAATCATCGAAAAATCAATTTTTAATCAACAAAAAATAATAAAATACTTTTAAAAAATATTTTATCAGTTAAAAAAAAATTTCTTCTCACGAGTCTGTTTTGCTCTTGCATTACTTATCTCTCTCAATATATTTTAACAATTTTTCTCTATCTTTTTTTTATTTAAAATATATCAAATTAATTTTTAATTATTCCTTATCAGTTATTATTAATTATTTAATTATTTTTTCTCTATTTCTACTAATATTTGATTTTTTATTTATAGATACATTAAATATTCTTAAAAATCTTTTTACACCTTAAAATTATTTTTATAATAAATATTTCAATAATTTATCTTTATTTTTTTTACTATTATCTCAAAAACCACCTAAACTATATTTAAATGATTGGAAATGATTATTATAAGACTACAATTTTTCATAAAAAAAATTAAAATTAATTAATTCATTAATAAATATATTATTTTTCCATCACTATTCATTTACGACTAAATCAATAATTTATAATTTTAATCGGTTGTAAAATTTTATTCATAATTGTAGTGAATAATTAGTTACAAACTACTTCAACATTAATCTTTTGAAACCAAATGAATAATTATCTATAAATGATAACTAATAATTTGTAAAACTATTTTTTTAGATTAAATTATTAGTTTAATTTTTTTATAAAAAAAAATTCTTAATTGAGTTACCAAAATAACAATGCTAGTATTACTTAGAAATTTTTTTTTTCTAAATATGAATATTGACTTGATTTTGTCTTTTATGTATTGGTTTGATGGTTAAAACAAATATATTTTATTTTTTAAATTAAAATTTTAGAGCCGGTGTTTATGAAAATTTATTAAATTTTTCTAAATATATCTTATGTTGTGAAATTGTGAATGTATTTTTGGGGTTTTCTCAAAACTTGTTGATGTAACAATCGTATATTGTTTTTGTATTTTAATTTTCTATATCAAACAAATAATGAAACATATTTTTCAAATAGTTTTTCATTTAATTATCAAACGATAGAAAATATTTTTTTTAATAATTTTCTAAAAATTATTTTCTTTAAAAATTATTTTTCTTATGAAAATTATTTTTCACCAAACAAATGTAGCCTTCAAAATTTCTTTGCATCAATTCATTAGAGATTGAAATTACTACTTTTAAACAAGGGGAGCATACTCCTCCCCTCTTTTCTGTTAACAGCCCCTACGGACATCCCTCAAAGATATTAATGTCAAATCTCTGTTCAGGGAAAAAAAAAGAGACAAATCTCGGCTGCTAGTTTCAAATTTCATTTCCTCACGCGTCGAAACTCCCAACATAACTCAAACCCCACGAAGATAAGGATAATGACTCTATAAGTATATTAATTTTAATTAAAATTACTAATTAAGTATTTTTATATTTTTTTTAAGCGGTAATGCGTTTGTTGCTATCAAAACATTAAATTATAATTTTACTCTTTTTATTCTCAATAGAATATATAGATTTTAATTTTTTTTAATATATCAATTTTTTTAATCTACCAACCGAGCATTTTTATTAATTGATAATATATTCGTTATTTTTTAAATATTAAATTATAATTTTATCTTTATTTTTTTGAAGAAAACCTCAAATGTTCATAAGTAATGAATTTTTTTCTTATGAAAAATCTCACATTTGTTTTTTTGTTTTTTCAATTTTCATGTTTAGACTTACGAGTTTCGTTCAAAATTTTATAGTTGAAAAATAATATTTTTTATTTTTATTCAAATTTTGAAATAGTAGAAAAATTTGAGGAGAAAGTTCTTTTCAATAAAAAGAAGACAAATTTACAGTTTAGTATTCTAAAGATAACATATATTTTATTAATTAAAGAAAAATTGATGAATGTATTTGATTAATGAATTTTAAAAAGTTAATGTACTCAAATGAAAAAAATTATTTATTTGATATAGAAAAAAAGAAGCAAATTATAATTTGGAATTCTAAAAATAACAAACACATTATCACTTAATTAAAAATTCATGAAATTATTTGATAGACAGTTTTTTAAAAAAAAATTAATACTTATATACTTGATTTAGAAAAAAATTAAAAATTTGGCATTTACTATCCCTGTGAAGGACAGAACAAATATAGAAAAAGTGATGGGCGAGTGGCAAAGTCCATAGTGCATTTGGTCCTTTTCTTCATTATCATGTACTAATATGATCCTCCATGTGGTTTTTCTAAAAGATTGTTAGACCAAATCCTTATTTCCTAAAATCACACAATTTGATTTTTTTTTTTTAATCTTAGTTGGATCCATTTTCCTTTGCACATAAGAACATACAATGGTATTTGACATTAATAGAAACTATTCCAAAAAAAAAAAAAGTATAAATACTGTCTTATTTCATTTTTTTTATAATTAAGAATATTGACAAAAAATTTCTCTCTTTTATAGATAACCTCTTCTTTTCTTTGAATTCCTAGATTATAACCTCTATATTTTAGTTTATCATCATTGGTGAATTTTTATATAATTTGATAGGAAGACTGAATATTTACAAAAATAAGGAGCTAAGAGATGACAATAGGAACAAAAAAGTATAAGGACCAAAATGATAAAATTTAAATTAGGAAGACGAAATATACCGTCAACCCTATATAGTGATTCTTGTGCTGCTGTGCATCGGTGGCGGTTTTCGGTTGTAAAATATTGCGCATCGCGATGTACCAGTATTAAAGTGGACGCGGAGCCACGTGTAATAAAAAATTGGGCAGTCCAAAAAGTGCTAAGAGATAAAGCAATGTTGAGTGGACAAGGCTGGGGGCCCAAATATTTAGCCCATTAGCGTGGGTCTATTAAGTTTTTTCCCCTACAATCTAATACGGAGTGAGCAAAACTAATTAACTAATTAATGAATAAACCGTTGTTACGGAGATCAAATCGTATAATACATCAACGTTATGAACTTCATTTTCCTAGACATGAAATGAATTTATAGATAAAACTAGCCGGTTGCCCACGCTATTCTATCCGGTAGAATAAAATCATTTTATAATTTTATAATTTAATAAATATTTTTTTTTAATATTTTTATAAATTTTTTGCTTAAAAAAATATAAATCATTCTTTTCATGGATTGATTTTAAAATAAAAAATTCTAATAATTTTAACTAAAATATCAATCAATAATTAACAAAACTTTTAAAATATATTATATTCTAAAAAATAAAGTTATACTTAATGGATAGACTCTTATAAAAATTAACAAATGAAAAAATTTATTATTTAATGTTGATGGAAAGGTTAATTTTTGAAATTATTCGTGGAACGCTGCAGAGCGATAGAATATAATCATTTTAAAATTCTATAATTTTTCATTAATCTTTTTATCTAATAATTACTTTTTTTCATAAAATATCTTCTTAAAAAACATGATTTATTCTTCTTTATTTAGGGATTTTTAAAGAAAAACTTATAACAATTTAAATCTAAAATATTAATTAAGAATTCAAAAATAAATACTTTAAAAACATATTTTCTTATAAGAATATATCCAAAAAATAAAGTTACAATTAATGTATAGACTTACATAAAAATTAACTAATAAAAATATTATTCTTATTTAATGTTGGTGAGAAGATTATTTTTTAAAAGTATATGAATTTGGTCTTTATATATTTATTTACAAAATAATGAATAAAATTAGCATAAAAAACTCGTATTTGAATAATTGGTTGGTTCCTTTAAAAAATTATTTTATTTTAAATAAATTGGTTCTGTAATATTAAAAAATATTTATAGTAAATAATTTGTATTATGTTTAAAGATGTATAGTTAATTTTTAATAATAAAAAAAGATTCAATATATCTTTTATACGTCTTGACCATACTTACTAAACTGAGATAAATTACTTGAAATACACTTTTAACCTTTTATAATATATGTATATATATATATATAATATGCCAATTTATTTTTTTTAAAAAGAAAAGCAATCATATTTTAAAAATTTATTCTAAAATTCAAACATAGAGAAAAATAAAATATATTTATCGGTAAATATAATTTTATATAAAAAAAATATTAATTGGATGAGGATTGTCATAAAAAGTATGATAAATTCAAATAATGAAATTTAAATAATAAGAGTAATATATGCTGAAGTATATGTTAATTTTAATACACACACACACACACACACACACACACGCACACGCTGCGTGAAAATGAATGAAAGTTGAGAATTGAAAAAATGCTATAACATGAGGGATGAAAATAGGAAAAAGTGTTAAATTTGCATATTAATACAGAAAAACACACAAAAAATTACTTAAATAGTCATAAAATAAATAATAATTTTATGCATAAGAAGAGTAAGTGAATAGGAATTTTAGGCATATTAACGAGCTTCGGTTCTCGCGCTATGCTTAGGATCAAATTAAGCATATTTATTTAAAAATTTGTATGAAAATTAATAAATGAAGCTTTTTTACTAATGAGAATATTATATTTTTAAATATACATATTTGAAAATAATAGCAAATAATTAGTATTGTTTGTAGATGCATAGTTGATTTATAATAAAATCAATGATTCTAATATTATTACTTTTTATACATCATGATCATGCTTAATGAGTGAGAATGTACAGCATAAATTTGAAAAATATTTTTTAAAAAATAAATCATGAAATATATATTAAAGTTAATAGATTGCAATAAAAACTATAAAATTGATTTCGATAAAATTTGATTATATAAATAATAAGAAAATAAAATACATATATTCTATTTTTAAAATTTGATTATATAAGAACTAAGCAAATAAAAAAAGGTATATAAAAAAAACTTATTCGAATCCATATACAGAGAAAATAAATCATATTTATTAATAAATAAAATTATATAAAAAACAAGAATAAAAATTAATTTGATGATAATTTTTATAATAAATCGAAAAGGTCAATTTTAAACAATAAGAGTAGTATATATTTATTCTAAAATTTAAAATATTTCATATATATTATATAATCGTTAGTTTGTGTGAAAAAAATTAACGATTTATTTTTTAAAATTTTAATACCTAGTTAAATAAAAAAACATAAATTGATAAAAAAATTAAAAGAAAAAAACCAAAGAAAAAAAGCATGTATAACACATCAATTAGGGAATTAAAATTTTTATTTTAAAATTTTAGGAACCAAAATGAAATAATTTGAAAATTATATATATAAAAAACCTAAACTATAGTAAATGAATTGTGAATTACAAGGAAATGAACAGTGAAAATCACTATTCAAAATCCTTACTTCTTTTAGTTTCTTTGTAATGCCTAATTTTGAAAATAAACAGAAAAAATAAAGGACACGTGTTAAAATTATGTGTGTCATTCGGAGAGATTTAATGCTATTGTTAGTTGAAATTTTTTTATGAAAAGACGAACCTAAAATACAAATTAAATGTTGATTAGTTGGGAATACAATTACGACAAAAATAAAAATAAAGGTTGCAATATAGAAAGGGTTTATTACAATGCCAGCATCAATAAAATTAAAAGGGGCAAATGAGTAAAATAGACAGGGAGTTTTTCTCTCTTTTCTTTTTTTTTTCAGATAAATATACATAGAAGAGCTTTTATAATGTCTGCATCCATAGATACCAGTTAAACCATTACTTTTAAGATTTCATAAATACTTGATATTATTTTATTTAAATCTAATAATTTAAACAGAAACAACATTTTAAGGTTAACGTTGTATTCTAGATTCAATGAAAAATGTCAATAAATTTGGGCAAATGGGTCTAGAATTTAGCCTTAATGGATTCGGCTTCCTTCACCAGGTTACTTCATCCTTCCAAGTTGGAAAAGATATCTAGAGGGTTTAGGGGTTGATTTAGGTCGGTTTTGGAGAGTGGGTGTTGTTTGTAAGAGATGATTTTTTAAAGGTATGGCTGACATGCCTAAAATATGGGTCTGGGGATTGTTGTTCTGGTTTGGATTTTAAGAGCGAGAGAGATGATTTTAAGGGTGATTTTGAGTTGGTTACTGCGAATGGTGGCTGACGGTTTGGGGTTAGGTCTGGTGATGGTGGTAGGCTGTTGATTGTGTTTTGCGCAGTGGAAATGGTGGATTGTAGTGGCATTTTGGGTGGCAGATGTTGAGGGTTCAAAGAGGTTTTTGGGTGGTAGATATGCGGGTGAAGAAGAAGATGAAGTGAGTTAATGGGTCGGGGGAGAAGAAAAAGGAAAACAGCTCGCGGGTTGCTCTTCAGGGCGGCTAGGACCAAAATAAAAAAGATTTCCTAAACAGAAGCAACCGAGGAAAAAAAAAGCAAACAGTAAATAAACAGGAAAAGTGCTACAGCACTTTCCCATTTTCTTTTAGTATTTCTTGTAATTATCCTCTAATATTGCCTTTGCGCGCCCATGCGTAAAATAAATAACGATGCCAAAAAATAATATATGATATGCGAATGTTTTTATTCTAATCCTCGATCGCATCAAATGTAATCTAATTTTTTTTATTAAATTTTTTTATATTTATAGATAGTTGAATATTTTTGAATTAATTTTTTCATCAATCGAAATCAAATCTTTTATTTTTAGACTAAATCAACATAATGATAACTTTAATTTTTGATCGACCACTAAACTTTTTTCTTAAACTAAGTTAACTCTCAAGTCTTGTACTATAGTTAGTTATATGTGAATAGTAAAAATTAAACATTTATCTTAGCTAAATTAAAACGATCTCTTTATTGCTAGACAACATCTCTTGATTTTTTGCTATTAAATTATATTGCTTAGATTTGAAACAACTTAATAAGAAATATATTATTCTAGATGCGAAGCTTCATGAATACAAATATTTAATTGATTGTAATTGCATTCTAGTTTATATATATCTCATTTCTTAATGCGAGTGTCACCCACACATAGTGTGAGTACATAAAAATAAATTTTAAAAAAGAAGCTTAATTAAGATGGAAAACACTATTAAATGTGCCCTTTCCAAGAAGCAAAAATATCCTTCGTATACAAATATTCTTATTATACCACAAAAAGGAAAATTAATTTTAAAAAAAAAACTTAACAAAACTGAAAAATCCAGAAAACATAAAGAAAAAAAGAAAACCTAGAAAATCTTTCATTTTCTAGATAAGATCAGCATAAGGACATCTTTAATTTTTTATTGACCACTGGACTTTCTCTTAAACCAAATTAACTCAAGTCTTGTACTATAGTTAGTTATATGTGAATAGTAAAAATTGAACATTCATCTTAGCTAAACTAAAACAATCTCCTTATCACTAGACAACATCTCTTGATTTTTTACTATTAAATTATATTACTTAGTTTTGAAACAACTTAATAAAAAACATTTTTTTTAAAAAAAAAGCTTAATTAAGATTGTAAACATAATGCAAGTACGTAAACATTTAATTGATTGTAATTACATTCCAGTTTATATTATCTCATTTCCTAATACGAGTGTCACCTACGCATGATGTGAGTACATAAAAAATAAAAAGATTAATTAAGATGGAAAACACCACTGACTGTGCTTTTTCTAAGAAGCAAAAATATCCTATATCTACAAAAAAAATTCTCATTAGACCACAAAAAGGAAAATTATTTTTCAAAAAAAAAAAAAATTAACAAAACTAAAAAATCCAGAAAACGAAAAGAAAATAAGAAGACCTAGAAATGTAAAAAC